TATAAAAAAATAAAAAACTTTTTTTTATATATAATTTATACATAAAATTATTTTATTTTTTAAATTAAACCTAAACTTTAGGGGCTTTTATGGTATTAGTAGTATTTTTTTGTGAAAAAAATGTGAACAAACAGTAAACACTATACTATATATATATATTTTACAGTAGTTTATAAAACTTAAGTTTAATTCAAAGTTGACTTTTAATATAATAATAATAATAATAACTGTAGTATAAAAATATTTATTATATTTGATATTTATATATATATCCAAATATTTATACCTGAATTATATGTGTATTCACTTAACAGTATATTTTTTAAATATTTATTTTAGCAAATAATATAAACATTTCATTACTCTCTCTCTCTCTCTCTCTCTCTCTTTCACGAGATATATATTATGCAAATAAGTGTTGAAATGAATGTAAGAGAGAGAGAGAGAGAGAGAGAGAGAGAGAGAGAGAGAGAGAGAGAGAGTAAGTAATAATAAAATATCAGACAAACAAAAAACATATAGAAAGCACTMCTAAATCTCTAAATCATTAAAAAACTTAATGCAATAGTAGTTGAGTTAAAAGTTAAGCCAAACAAACAAAAAAATAAGACATAATTTGTTTTTCACTAACTTTTTACTTTTCCGTAATAATAATAATAATAATTAATAATAATAATAATAATAATAATAATAATTATTATTATTATTATTATTCTTACGATTACTTAAAACAGTTTTCCAATTCATTCATTCATTCATTCATACAAAACAAATATTTAGTGGGTTTTAGCTAAATATTCATAATTTTATTTATTATATTAATTAAAACTATATATATATATATATAATGTATATACAGTACAATGCTATAAGAAATATTATTTTTTTTTGTGAATAAAATCATAATTAAACATAAGATTTTTAGTTTAAACACACACACACACACACACACACACACACACATATATATATATATATATATAGACATACATACACAGAAATATATATACAGTACATATATAATAACACACACATATATATACATACATACATACATACATACATACATACATACATACATACATACATACATACATACAMACACACACACACACACACACACACACACACACACACACACACACACACATACATACATACATACATACATACATACAAATCAACTTTAGTTATATGTATGTACAGTATGTGTGTGTGTGTGTGTTTGAATGCCTGACGTAAATGCCTGTCCATATATACATACATACAGTATATATATATATATATACAGTATATATAAAGTAAACTTATAGTAAAAAAAGATGGATAAAGAGTTGGWGTATRAGTTGGTTATGTGTCACCAGAAAACACATACCGATTCTGTGCCACCGATTCCGGTGTCCAATCAAACGCTCAATTCTTGGCAGACAAACACCCAATTCGTCGACAAATAGCTCTCTCTCTCTCTCTCTCTCTCTCTCTCTCTCTCTCTCTCTCTCTCTCTCTCTCTCTCTCTCTTTACTCTCTCTCTTCTCTCTCTCTCTCTCTCTCTCTCTCTCTCTCTCTCTCTCTTTACTCTCTCTTTCCGTACTCTTGAGTAATCCATTGGAAAAAAGCATTAAAAACCTTTGGACTCTAGCTTTTTGGTTAAGATTTGATTGAAAACTCGTTGGATAAGACATTATAATTATTATTATTATAATAATATAGAYATTAAAAAAGATTTTGTTGTTGTTATTGAAATTGATTGTATTGAAATATAATAAATAAATAATAATTATTTATATATATATAACAATTTAATCAATTGCTGATAAAAATCAATTATTAAGTTAATAATTATTAAAAAAACTTTCAATTATTCAATAAATTTGTAAAAATATTATATTATCTAATTTTTAACCCAATTGACAAAAATGTAAGTATTAAAAACAAAAAGTTTTATTTAATCATTTATTTTTTGTTTGTTTGTGAATATATTAATATATAAATAGTTATGCCTTAACTTAACTAAGATATCTAACTTATATTAATAGATATAATTAGAAAATACTTTTATAAACTTTTATTAATTATTTTTGTATATAAATTATTAAAAAATAAATATTTTAATGTTATAAGTTAGTCATAAGTTAATTTATTTTAATTATAAATATAYATATATATATATGAATTTTATTATTGCTGTTTATGATTTTATGTTATTAAAAAAACTAATCAAATGTCAACTAAAAAWATATATACTATTAATATATTWATACCATATATATATATATATATATATGAATTTATATAACTTATAAATTTTTGTTTACTAAATAATTTTATCAAAAAATACATTATTTGTATTTTCTAACTGTAAAAAAATTTAATTTTAATAATAATAATAAAATAATGAAAAAACTTATGCAAATAACTTTATCTCTCTCTCTCTCTCTCTCTCTCTCTCTCTCTCTCTCTCTCTCTCTCTCTCTCTCTCTCTCTCTCTCTCTCTCTCTCTCTCTCTCTCTCTCACTATGTGTGCAATAATAAATAAAATCAATCAATTTTTTTAGCAAACACTGGTTTTGAGAAATACACTTATTATTATTATTATTATTTACTATTAAAATATATTTCAATAATTTCATAAATTTATTAGTAAATAACACACACAATAATAAAATATATATAAATAAATAAATATTGTAACTAACTAACTAAAATGTATTCAAACAAACAAACAAACAACAAAATATAGTTTCCATTATAACTAATTAATTAAATGTTGTTTTCCACTTAAATCCTATTAGAAAAATTAGATAATATCGATAAAAAAAATTATTATTAATATTATTATTAATAATAATATTACAGTAAATTAACAATAAAAATTGTTACATGTGTTGACAATACATACAATTTTTAATTAAAAAMACTAAAGTGATCGATTGAATTGTTGGAAATTATTATTAKTATTATTAGTATTATTAACTCAATTGAAATCATAAATGATAAGATAAATGATATCAATTTTTTCTATATCTATATACTGTATAWACTGTATATTATTATATGGTATATACAATGTATTTATATAGTATATAAAATTAATAACATTTTTTATGATTAAATTTKTCTCTCTCTCTCTCTCTCTCTCTCTCTCTCTCTCTTATAAAATATAATACATCGATCAATGCCTACTGTTTGGWTTCACAGCATCAATAATATTATCAAAAAAAAAAAAAATACTATTAGTATTATTATTGATATCAACTATATTTATACTGTATATATATATATAATAAAGTATATTATTTATATAAAATAACATAATAATTATGAGTATTATAAGATATTAAACAATAGTGTGTATGTGTTTAAGATTGTGTAAGATTAGATATTTTAGATAAAAAATGGTTGAAAAATATAATTTTTATATAATAAACAATAAATAAAATATTTTTTTTAATTCGCATGTTTTATATATATATATATAAAAGTTTTTATTTTTGAAAAAAARATTATTTTATATACTAGTGAGTCAAACCTGAACATAAAAATTAAAAATTTATATATTGATATAAATGTATAGTTATTGCTATTTTATTTTGTTACGCAACAAATATATATTATGTATATATATTTATATATATATATATTATATAACTTTATATCAATAAATATATAGAAATTTGAACTTTAGATATATATAGTAATAAATATTAAATATAAATATATATATTTCCAAAAAAAAAAATTTTTTCTTTATTTTTATTTTATTTATACATTATTTTATTTTTGACTTTAAATATAATAATATAAAAAAGTTTTACACAAAATTATTTAAACATGTTTATACAGTTTTATTTTTATTTTTGTTTATAATATTTTATTTAAATCTTTAATACTTTCAGTATTTTCCGTATGATTATTATATCATAAAATTTAAAACAAAAAAAATTATTTTCTATATCATAGGCTTTAAAAATCGTCACTAAACTTAAAATGATAGCAATTTTGTTTTCAATACTATATGGATATAAATATATTTATATATATATATATAATAAACACAATTTTATTTTTCCTATATTTTTCCCCTATAAACGATAAAAATGATTTCATTTTATTTGTAAAATTTTTTTATTTTGTATAAATATTTTATTTTATAGACATGTTTGACATTACAAACAAACAAATAAACTAAAAATCATTTAATCTGTAAATCTGTAAAWWTWKAAATATATATATTGATATTAAATACATAATATTATTATAATAATATTAATAATTATGTGAATCTTTACAAAATGATTGTCAATTAATTGTAAACTTTATCAGAAAATTATATATTAATTAAAAGAATTTAATTAACTAYTGTTTYGTTATAGAAATTATCAAAAAAAAATTTATTAAATATACAGTTTATTATCATAAAATAGATGTTTATTTATTCAATAGATAACATCATATATTATATGTTAATTATATATTTATATATATATACAGTATATTTAAAAATTTTAATAAGTTTTATAAATATATTCAYATATATATAAGACACACCCGTTTTATTTTTGTTAAGGCAACTGTTTTAATTAATTATGAGATACCTTAAAAATATTATATTTAATTATCAAAAAATAATATTAATTATTATATGTCATTCAAATTTAAATATATTGAAATATATATAYATATATACATGTATTTCCTACAAATTTTTTAATTAATTACAAAAATACGACAGTTTTCTTGCATTCATTCAATTCATTGTATTTATAAATAAAATTTTAATAAATTATAATTATTTTTGTTATTATTATTATTATTATTAGTCTACTAATACTTTACTAAAAGTTAATAAGCTAATTATTTTATTATTATTATACTAAGTTATTTATAATTAATTATTATAAATTTATACTTTTAAAATTTTTTTTTAATAATATATTAAAATATATTTCTATATAATTTTTGTTAACAAAAATTTTTATTTTATAGCTTTTGTCACAAATCTCTCAATAAAAATGCACACATTTTACGGAAAAATTTTACAAACAATTTTCCTATGGATTTCAATATCAAGTTTAGCAATAATATCAATTGTTGCCATCGCTGACAATGGTATAGTATATATATATATATATATATATATATATATATATACATACATAAAAAACTTATCATTAAATTATATAAACATTTTATTGAAATAAAAACAAATTTATAAACTAATAATATATAAAAAAAATATATCCACTTAATTATTTATATAACCTCTCATACAAACAAAAATCTATACACGTATTTAGTTGAAAAACTATTCAAATATATACCTCCAAAAAAATGCAAATATATTTATATATAGATATTTAAATAATTGAATGTTTTATTTTATTTATTTCAAAAAAAAAATAAAAAAATAAACTAAACTAAAACAATGATTGCCTGAAACCATATATAATTTTTTTTGGGCTTTAATTTTATCAATTCAATAGATTTCAACGATCGAAACTCATTGACTAAATCAACACAACAATACTCGTATGATATGCCGATCCCATCAAACGTTTATCTTAATAAAAGATACTCTGAATTTCTCGGTATATAATTTATATATATATATAATAATAATAATAAATACTATAGATATACAAAAAATATACTATCAGTGCCCACACACACAAACAAAAAAAAAATGTTTTATTACTACAAGTGTATTAAATATTTATATATATATATCATATATTAAAAATAATATACATATATATAAACTATAGTGACAATAATAATATGATAAAAATAACAATTTTTTATTATGATTTTTTCCTGTCATCAAATAAACACCATTTTTTTAACAAAAATAGGTGGACCCGGAAAACGGTCATACAATGATGACAACACCAACAACAATGCTTATGTAGTATTACCGAAACGGTTGTCCGAGTTTCTCGGTTTGTATATGAATATAAATATATTATGATTTAAACAAAACAAAATAAATTATATACAAACTAAATTTCAACTAGATGCAATTTTTTTTGGTTGAAAATAGGTGGTCCCGGTAAGCGAATGTTGGCCACTAATTATAGGTTTGGCGGACAACAACAAAAGCGATTGTCCGAGTTTTTAGGTATTTATTTATTTTATGTATTTTTTACAAAAAAAAATTAATTATTTTTATTTTATGTATTATAAGATAATAAATTATAATTTTTTTTGGGAAACTTAAATATACTTTAGTTTATATACAATGTATATATATATATATATAATTATTTATTAGGTGTTAATTAGTTTAAACTAATGATTTTCACTATGAATTAGAGGAATGGGTGGTATATATATACAGTATGTATAAAACCCTAACCTTGACATTAAACTATTTTTGTTTGTTTGTTTGTTTGTTTGGGGAACCAGTAGTTAATATAAAAAAATATATATAGATAAAATTGTTAATAATTTTACTGGATTATTAGAAATTATTAGCAATTAATATAACAAATAAATTTTATTTCAATTATTTACTATCATTTTTTAGTAATCATATTTTCTAAATTAATTGTTTTTAATTATTATTTTTATCCCCTACTCCCCCTCCCCCCAAAAAAATAGGTGGACCCGGAAAGTAATTAAAATGTAAAATGTGAGACAAATTATTATTTAAAAAATCATTTTTTGCATCAAATCATTTTAACAATAATACTAATAATGCAAAATAAAAATTGGACAACAATTTTATATAAAAACAAAGCACACCTTATAATAGTATATACAGTATATTATAAATAATAATAATAATAATAATAAATTTATAATAATAATGATATTTTAACAATTTTAACAATTTTATGTCAGAAAAATAATACTCATATATATTATATAATTATAAATAAATCATTTAATGATTTTTTCTAGAAATAAAATAAAAATCAATTTTGTTGTTTATTATTTTAACAATTTATTATATATATATTAATACTTAAATTTTTCATTTAGTTTTATTGTCAAATAATAATATTATTATTATTATTGTATCACACAATACGTGACTTTATGTAATATTTTGTTTATTATAAATAAACTAAATTTATATTATATAAATTATTAAAAAAACTAATTTTTAAGTTTAATATAATTATAATTAAATTAATTTATAATCACCATAATATATATATACTGTATATATTTATATATATATTATAATTATATATATTCAATATAAAGCATTTTAATAAAAATAATGTTATTTTTTTGCAAATTTCTATTACAAGTAATTAACAATTAACTATTTGAAATTTTGATAATTTAAATAATAATAAAACGTATTAAAAATTAAATTCAAAAAAGTAGTTAATAAAATTTAAACAACAATAATAAATTAAAATTATCATTTTAAATATAATCGTAAATATATCTATTAAATAAAAATTATAAAAACAATATAAATAAGCAAAAAAACAAACAGTACATACCTAACCAATATAATAGTATAGCATAAATTAAATGATAATAATAAATTTTTTATTACTATTACATAAATATCATTTCATTAATTTTAGTATTTAAATTTATTATTTAATGTAACACAATTTTTTTTGCAAATTAATAAAATACAATTAATAAAATAAATATAACTAATATAAAATGTTTGAAATTAATAATTCATTATTATTATTATTAATAATATACTAAATATATTATTATAGTATACTATTATAATATCATTACAGTATATATTGATAATTAATATTAAATAAAACAAAATTACAACAATAGATATAATACAGTATATTATTATTATTATTATTATTAGTACTTTTGAGGAAAAGTGAATAAAAATAATTGTATTTTTTATTTTTGTTGTTTAAATAAATGGCAATAAATTTATCCTTCATTTGAATATTAGTTATATATATAGAGAACTATTGCATACAACAAAAAAAAACTTTTTTTTATAATAATTTATATATTAAACAACATTTGTATTATTATTTTTCATCAAAAAATCAAAATCAAATAACAAGTTTTTTCCGCATTAATTGTATTGGGAATTGACTTTTATTTTATATTATATTTTGTGTTTTATACAACAATTTTTTTTGTAAAACTATATTAGTAGTCAAAATAAATGCTAAATTTGCACAAATATTTTATATATATATATATATATATGATATTTAATATTATTATTTTATTGTATTGTATTTATGACTTTATTACCAGTATATATATATATATAACAAACAAAATACTGTTTATAATATTATTTCATCAAAATTTATAATAAAGTAATATAAAATAAAACAAATATAATCGGAATTTATTTACTACTACTACTACTACTACTACTACTACTACTACTACTACTACTACTATAATAGTTGTTATTTATTTAATTGCAAACAAAATAATAATTAAAACAAAATACACATTAAAATAGATATCACAATAAATATTTAGTTGAAAACTTTTAGTCGACTTTTTTTGTGTTTAGTTTAACATTAAATATCATTCAACTAATTATAGTTTGAAACCATTGATTTTATGGATACTATTTTTTCTAATAGACATTAGCCTAAAATTTCAATTAACTATTTTGTGTGTGGAAAATAATTGAAAAATAAAACATAAAATCTAAATAAACAATTAATTAACTTTTCAACGAAAGAGAGAGAGAGAGAGAGAGAGAGAGAGAGAGAGAGAGAGAGAGAGAGAGAGAACAATAATTAACTAATTAGTTACCAATAGAGTAACCATTATTTATATAAATAAATATATAATACTCTCAATATAATACATATAATATTGTAAATTATTTTATGTAAGTATTAAAGTTGAGTAAAATAAATAATTTATAATTATAATTATTATTATTATTATTAAATCAATTTATTTATCTCAAAATAATAATAATAAATATGTAAAACATTAGTTGAGTTTTACGGCAATTGTTTATTAGGGGCACCAATACATTGAAAAACTCATTGTATTTAAAAATTATTATTTTATTTTATTATTAATTTGTTATACATTTGTAGTTAATATGTTGCAGTCGTAAGCACTGGCATATCGAAGCATAAAAGTTATGGTCAGTGCTGACCCTTATATAGAGATTTTAGGCAATAGTTGACCCATAAAATAGTCGGCAGTTATTTGAAAAATAATAAACATATAGAAAGTGTGAATACTTTCTATAAATGGCAAAAATGCTAAATTTAAGTCTATTTGATTATTGCTAAAATTTTTGTGAAATATTGATATTTAAGTTATTTTTAAACATAAAGTGTTTATACAAATAGTTTTTTTTTATTATCAATATGTTTAACAACAACAAAATAACAAAACATTTTATATTGTAATTTACAGGAATATTCTGTTTACAATGTGTTCACTCTATTCATACAGTATTTTCAATGTCAATGCAAAACACGTTATTTGTTTTTATTGATAGAAAAAAATATTAATAATAATAATAATAATAAAAATAAAATTCAAACTAAAGTTTTTAAATAACAAACAAAAAAATCAAAATAAAAATCAAAACAAAACGTGAATTCAATCGTAAAAAAACCAAAAACATAAAAACAAACCCGAGATTTGATGGCCAGAAATAACCCGAAGTAGAAGGAGATCCCGATATAAATGATGCAACGTTACGGCCAACTAAAAGAGTTGGCCAACTGTCGGCTACTGTCGGCGTCGATCTCGACTGTTCATCAGCTTATGGCTAGTGGCCAGTTGTCGCCGTCGGATGTCTGGTCAAAGTGTATGCTAAGAGCCGTACAGACGAAACCGTTGAACGCATTCGTAACGCTGACCACCGACAACGATATCGGCCGCCAATCGGCGTATTCAGCCGACGCCCGCTACACGAGTGGCCAACCGTTGGGCCGTTTGGACGGCATTCCCATTGCCGTCAAAGACAATATTTGTACGAAAAATATGTTGACAACGTGTGCGGCGAAAATGTTGGCCAACTATAGGCCGCCGTTCGATGCGACAGTTGTCCGCCGATTGGTGGACACCAGCGGTGCGCTGATGTTAGGCAAGACTAATATGGATGAGTTTGCTATGGGTTCGGGTTGTGTGGACGGTGTGTTCGGGCCTACAGTTAATCCCTGGAAATCTCGACTGCCGTTCAAAGTATGCGACAAACTGACCAACGAATGGTCAGAATTCAATGGTTTGCCGCCGCCGACTGATGACTGGTTTATCAGTGGCGGCAGTTCTGGCGGCAGTGCCGTTGCTGTGGCCACTGGTTCGGTGTTTGCTGCACTGTCATCGGATACGGGCGGTTCGACTAGAAATCCGGCGGCCAGAGTCGGTATTGTTGGCTATAAACCGACCTACGGTTTGGTCTCGCGATTCGGTCTAATACCGTTAACCCATTCGCTGGACGTTATCGGCATTATGGCCCGATATGTTGACGACGTAGCCATCATATTGGCGGCTATTGCCGGACACGATTCGCTGGACTCGACTACTGTCGACAAGAAAATCGATAACACCGTTGTTAACGACTTGGATCTGTCGACACTTACGATCGGTATACCCGATGAATATCAGTGTACAGGTATGTCGGACGAAGTAGTCGATACGTGGCGATCGGTAGCCGATAGATTGGCCAATATGGGCGCCCGAGTCAAGTCGGTATCGTTACCGCATACAAAGTACTCGATATCGTGCTATTCGGTACTAAACTGTTGCGAAGTGGCCTCCAATTTTGCCTGCTATGATGGCATCGAGTTTGGCTATCGATCGGTGGCCGCGGCCGACGACAACAACAGTAGCGGTGGCCACCAAACAGTTGAAGAACAGTACTCGAAGACCAGACACGAAGCGTTCAGCGATACAGTTAAGGGTCGGATATTTGCCGGCAATTACTTTCTATTGCGCGAAAACTATGAAAACTATTTCAACAGAGCTCTGAAAGTTCGGCGACTAATTGCCGAAGATTTTGATCGTGTATTTAGCAAACAAAACGTAGATTTATTGCTAACGCCGGTCACCCTAACCGATGCTCCGCTATACTCCCAGTGGATCCAGAAAGACAATCGCCAACAAGTATCTATCGAAGACTATTGTACACAACCGGTCAATATGGTCGGACTGCCGGCTATTAGTATACCGTGTCGATTGTCCAGCAAATCGGGATTACCGTTAAGTTTGCAACTAATTGGCCGACGTTTTGACGACTATTTTCTACTATCAGTGGCCAAACAATTGGAACAGTTGTTCAACTTTCCGCTCTTAGTCTACGACGACGACGACGACAATGACAACAACCATCAGACTAAAGATGTTATCAGTTGACAGACAATTGAAATCTAGATTTTAAAAAATATATATAATTATAATAATATTATTACCGGTAATTAGTTTTCTTGTTTGTTTAATATCACAATAAATTTTAAAATTTTCACAAATACTTTCTCATCAATCAATCAAGCAATCAATCAATCAATAAATAGATCAAATAAATTAGTTAATAATAATAATAATAATTAACTAATTATTATTATTTATATATATAATATAATTCCTGTATATATATATAATAGATATAATAATTAACGAAATAAATTAATGTTTTTTAAAAATTTATAATAATGTATTCACAACAACCCGTTCATTGATTTTTTTTATGTTTATGTTATGTTTTTGTTTATATATATATATATATATAAAATAATAATAATAATTTGTTCATTAATTTCAATCAATCAATTAACTAATTAATTAATCAAAAAAATAAAATAAAATAATTTTATAACTGTTTTTCACTATTTTTGGTGAATATATTATTTGGCAACAATTTCTTGAAGAACAAGCAAACACTACTTGGATTGTAGTTCCAGTTTCTACGGGAAACAAACGGATTGTCGTAGACATTGGGTACGATGTCTTGGACGCCCGACTCGAAAAAGTAGAACAATGGAAACCAAATGCGGGTACGTTTGCGATCGTTTTGATACAGTGCCTGATTGTTGGCCAGCGAATGATAGTAGAGGAATAATCGGGTAGAGATGTAGAATGCAATGAAAACATCGATCGAGTAGTGTTCGTGTGCGGCCAGTATGAAGAATATGCCGAACAGATTGAAAACCCATGAGAGTGTATGGACCAGATAGAGGGTCGGAGGAGTGTCTGTATATGGATGGATGGATGGAAATCATATCATTTATAATTATTATCACAACAACAACAATGATAATAATATTACATTCAGTAATGAAAAAGTTGAGTAAAGTTATGACAACAGTATGGCCACTGAACATGTAGTCGCCGCACGTGCGGACACCCTGTATGGACATACCGCCGCCCTGCCAGATGACAAATGCCTGATGAAGACGCTCCAACCAACTGCCGTATGGCTAGTGATGGTAGTAGTAGTAGTGGTGGTGGTAATGATGGACATGAAATAAATTATATAATCAGAGATCAGTTTATCACCACAAAAAAAACAACAAAATGACTGTTCATTCAAACAAATAAATAAAAAAAATAACAATACCCTGGCTTTGCATTGTAGATGTCGACCGGGAACTGATAGCGAGGTTATCAACATTGTTACACATCTCAGGAAAAATACTGAACCAAACAATGAGAACATCCGTCGCAACAAAACAAACCTTTTTAACCAACAAAAAAAATAACAAAATTAATTAATTACCGATAAATTAATATATGATTAGCACAAGTAGTCTCAAGAAAACAGATGAAGATTTCTTGTTGTTGTTGTTGAAGATAATAGACAGACACCCGACACAACATACCTGTGTTTATGAAATATGAGAACCACTATCCATGTAATGAATAGGACGAGACCGCAAACTTCGCACATATCGAAGGCGTGCGGAATAAGCGGTATGTTGTCCAAGAATATGTCGGGTAGCGGTGGATAGGTCTGCATATCGGGTACCCGATCGTGAACTATAACCATAATGATGGCCGTTATCCAAGTGGCGGCAAAAAAGTAGATCATTGCTATCAATGCCTTCCACGATTCGGGTTTAATCTCGACCAGTTCGGGCTCAGTGGTCAACAGCAGCCGATCAGCGGTCAGCGGGAAGTGATGATGGTTGTGATGGTGATGGTTATGATTTGGCGAATGATCTGAATTTGAGTCAATCAGTTGGCGTTGTTTTAGCCACATATAGGTCTTGTCCAGCGAACTCAATATCTGCGGCCGACTGATCACCGATAATACCAGTTCGGTATTGGCTTCTTGTAGCGATCGCAGAGCAATACCCAACCGTTTGATGTCACCCAACACTTGTATGAGTAGCGGTGGACTGCGGAGATCATCTTCGGTGAGGGTTAGCAAACAGATGCCATCGATTTGATGGTCGTCGCGAAACTGTTGGACATAGCGCTGGAAACCGTTTGTCGACAACCAATTGCCGACATCTTCGGCCGACCATTTGTTTACCGGTTTGTCCATTAGATTCATCCTCTCTCTCTCTCTCTCTCTCTCTCTCTCTCTCTCTCTCTCGGGAAAGTGTTTTTTGGCCAACAATTTTGGTTAATAATAATAATAACTATAATATTTAAAGACAACGAAAAAAACTGTGGATTTCCTCCGGATATCAGTTGTTATCATTAAATGTGTGACAATTAAATGCAACCAATTGTATGATCAGTCAGTCAATGATATATCAATATATTGTCCATTAGTGTGGAACTAATTATTTGGTGATAATTATCATATCATGTCTTTCATTCATAACAACTGTCATAAAAATAAATCAATTGAAACGTTAAGTCAATTATATTATTAAATATATAATTGAAAAGTGGTTTTAATTTTTTTTTGGTTTACATTTTTCATTAAAAACATTAAACGACACCAAAAAATATATGATATTTAAAATAATTTATTATTTATGCCTTCAATGTCACCATTGATTTGATCCACACTTTTTTTTTGTTTCATCTGATATCTTCATCATCACTACTATATAGTATACTAACTACTAATCTATTGATGATATTGTCGACGACTACACAATAATAATAATAATAAAATTGTTTGAATCATGTTTTATGTGTAACTGAGATATGATATCAACAAAAAAAATCAAACATAAAAATAATATGAAATTAAAAACTTTAAACTTTTATTATTATTTAAATATATAATAATTTTATTATTTATTTAACAGTCAATTGAATTGCATTTACAATATATAGTAGAGTCACTAATATAAACGGTATATTAGTTTTTAAAATAAAAAATTATATTTAAAATAAACTAAAAAAAAAACATTTAATAATTTATATGAAAAATCATTGAATTTTCAAAAAAAACTTGAAAAGTTTTGTTTACTGAAATCTATAATGGCTTTTTGAGTCTGTCTGTCTGTCTGTCTGTCTGTAGCATTTCATTTTGCGAATTTTGAAATTCTGACTTCAGATTCGGTTAGAGGACTACTAATAATGTATTGAAAAGTTGCATTAAAATTTTGATATCTCTTCAGGAACATAGAGAAAATGGCGGCCAAATTAAAAAAAAATTTAAGAAAATTTTTTTAAAGTATAGATTTGAATAAAGCATCAAAAATAAGCAAAAGAAATATGCATTAAAATTTTGATTTCTCTTCAGGAATGTAGAGAAAATGGCCGCCAAAGTAAAAAATTTAGGTGAAAATTTTAACGTTTAGAATTGTATAGAGCTTTATAATAGATCAAAATTAATTTGTTTATTTTGTTATATAAATCATTTGATACCACACATGACTATAGTTGAGTATATTTTGTCATACTGTCATTTGATTCCACATATGACTATAGTTGAGTTTATTTTGTTATACCGAGTCATTTGATACCCTACATTACTATAATTGAATTTATTTTGTCATACTCAATCATTTGATACCCCAAATGACTAGAGTTGTTTATTTTGGCAAACTGAATCATTTGATATCTCACATGCCTATAGTTGTTTATTTTGGATACTGAATTATTTGATACTTCACATATATAGTTGAGTTTATTTTGTCACTAATGCATTTGATAACCCATATGACTAGAGTTAAGTATATTTTATCATACTGAGTCATTTGATACCCTACATAACTATAGTTAAGTATATTTTGTTAGACTGAGTCATTTGATACCCCACATGACAATAGTTGACTTTATTTTGTTATAGCGAGCCATTTTAACTAATGGTATTCAATGATATTCAAGTTTTTTTTCTGAAAATGCTTTCTAGCATTCTTAACTGGTTTTATTTTCAATTCAAAAACACTCAACAAATATAGTGTATAATAAATAATATACACAATTCATAAACGACGTTAGCAGGCAGGCGGGGGGTTGGGGGGGGGTGTGCGGGGCATATACACACTCTCCTATAGTGTACTAAATTATACATACAATACATATATTAAATTTTGTGTGTGTTTTTCTGGACGTAATTAATGTTTGACGCATTCAATGTGTGTGTCAATAGGTGWGTGTAGCGCTTGCGTCACCCAAAGTGTGTTATTGATGCAGTGATGGTGTGTTTATTATAACCCATCCACATAAGACGTCCGCGCTACCACTGCATAATTAGCAATATAGTTTTATTCAACCCCTTTACTCCCTTTTTGCCATATTATATATCATTGTACAGTATTTATAGAATATTGTAAATAAAATGTAAAATATTTTTGTTGTTGTTTTATTTAATTAATTAAATTATTATTAATTAAAAAAATTTAAAATAATAAATAATTTAATTGTRTATKAACAACAAAAATAAATAAATTTTTTATTSTTGTTGTTGACCCACACCCACCCACACACACAGTTTACCCCTTTTTTTTAAAAAACAAATTTTTTTTGTTGGACGTCTTATRTGATCGTATCTCACATACTGTACTTTGCACTGTGTATTGAATACCCAATAGATTTATACAGTAATGTAATGTATTTTCTATGAGAGAGAGAGAGAGAGAGAGAGATAGTGTAAAGAGATAGCCATTTGGAGACCATATTATTCACATTGAAAGGACAGTCGTGTTATATATACTAATTGCTAACTGTGCTGTTGTTTGTTGCCATTCAGTGCATACATACATTGACTTTTCAAGTGCCGCCACCGCCAACTGATCCCAACCAATGGCTCCCCCGACTTACGGCGATTTGGGCAAACAGGCCCGCGATTTGTTCAGCAAAAACTATCGTAAGAAACATAGATTTAACATAAGAGTCACCATTAGGTCCAAACATGCCACCACTACTACTACTACTACCTCCACCACCCATACCATCGTTGCTAACGATGATAATACAGTTACCTCTAAATCGTTGCCACCATTTATTAACAGTCTGTTTACTCGTCTTGAACTTCTAGACTTCGGACTGATTAAGTTGGACGTAAAGACTAAGACACCGGCCGGAGTCGAGTTTACCGTCAATGGGACGTCCAATAACGATACGGGTCGGGTGAATGCATCGTTGGAAACGAAATACTACTTCAGGGATTGGGGTTTTACACTGAAAGAAAAGTGGAATACCGATAATACATTGGCCACGGAGTTGTCGCTCGAAGATCATCTGCTGAAGGGATCAAAGTTGGCATTGGCTGCCAATTTTGCGCCGCAAAGCGGCAAAAAGGCCGGTACTATCAAGTCGTCCTTGAAAGCCGACCATTTCAATGCCAATGCCGACATTGATTTTGATTATGGCGGTGCACTTTTTCATGGATCAGCTGTCTTAGGGTATATATATAKATATAGATATATTGATAGATATGTATTGATAATTGTTTGCCAATTATTACTACCGTATTGTGTATTCAAAATGTATAATCAATTTAATTCCTGATTTGATTTATTTTGATTTGATTTTTTGGTTGCAATAATTGCTTTCAATTTTCAAACATAATCTTTACATTTGATTTGATTTTTATTTGATTTTTTTGTTGATTTTATTAATTCAATGCAAAAAGCACTGCGTTTTTGCATATCATTTRTCGCTTTTATGTGTATTTATAATTATATTATTGTATATTATGTTTGAAATTATGATTATTTGATATTTAATTTTATATGAATATATATCTCATATATAATTTATTTTTATTATTTTATTATCATTGCATTTTGATTTATCACATATTTTTTATTTATTTTTTAAATTGATATTTGATATTACCGTACAAAATGTATTTAATTAATTCAATCAATCAGTGTATGGATGATAATGTTATGATTATTTTAATTATTTATTTTCTGTTTAAAATAACCCAATTTACTAAACAAAAATGATATATATATATTAGTGTTTTAATAATTATATATATTTAGTCGACGATATAAATGCTAAAAATTTATTTATTTTTCATACATTTTTTTCTTTATTATTATTATCTCTCAAAACAATTCAATGCTTACCATTGAAGTCCATCACATCCCAGGTTTCGTATATATATAAATATGATATATATATATATATATCATATCTATTTTTTCTCACTTTTGCTTTTTTTGTAAAAAAAATCATTTATTAGATATAACTTTTGTTTTGATATAATTTGCTTTTTATCGCTGAACTTAATTTTAAAGGAAAAAAATTGATTTTTATTTATTTATACATTTTTGTTTTGTTTGGACAACTGTTTGATACAATATTAATATTTTTTATGTTTTTTTTGTTGTTGGACAGTCACCAGGGATGGTTGGCCGGCGCTCAGCTATCGTTTGATCCGCAAAACAGCAAACTGACCAAAACAAACTTTTCGGTCGGCTATCAGGCCGGCGATTTTGTTCTCCATACCAATGTGTATGTATTGTTGTTGTAGTAGTAGTTGATTGTTTAATTGATCCCAACATTTGATTGATTGTTGATTTTTAATGTTCAGTAACGATGGCCAAGAGTTTACCGGTTCAGTCTACCAGAAAGTGAACAGTCAATTGGAAAGCGGCATCAACTTGGCCTGGACTTCGGGCAATAATACAACACGTTTCGGTTTGGGCTGCATTTATAAATTAGACTCAGACTCTACTATTAAAGTAAGTAGTAGTGCGGCGGTTATAATCGGGCGCACTATTGGCCGACCCCACCCCGCAAAAAAATCGGTAACTTTTCAGATGAGCGTTAGAGAAAATCGGTAGTTTTTGTTGTTGTGTGGACATCACTACCCGTAATATATTTATTTAGTGTTGTTTTAGTTATATCATTGTCTCTCTCACTCACTGAAAACTATCCAATTTTTTGTTGGGCTACTATCGCCGCCACCCCCACCCCCCCTATATACATATACTAACCAATTGTATGACTATCCCATATCCACACACACACACACAGGCAAAAGTAAACAACGCGAGTCAAATAGGACTGGCCTTTACTCACCGGCTCCGACCGGGTATTGCACTAACATTGGGCGCTATGATCGACGGCAAAAACTTCAATCAAGGCGGCCATAAGCTGGGAATGGGCTTTGATCTGGAGGCCTAAAAATCAACAAACAACAGCTGATGCACTCATTTAGATTATATATATATATATATTTGATTATATAATTACTATAATAGTTACCTGTCTTACCTCTACTACTACTATCTATCTATATTAGCTAATATTTCAATTCATTCAATGATTTTTAAAAGTTTAGACATTATAAAAAAATATATATATAAACATACAGTACAGCAACGATTGATAATTAGTTTTTTTTTTATTATTAATTTTGAAAAAAATAATTTTTTTTTTTGGATTTTAAAAGCAGTGAAAAAAATGATTGCATTAAAAAAATTTATGTCATTTGATTATTAATTATATATATATATATATATATATATCTTATCAATTTGTAGTTGAAAACAATTATTTTTTTTAAATGTATTACTTTATTGACTATATATGATATATATATATAGTTTTGAAAACAATTGGTGCACTTATATATAGATAGTTAGTGTTTTAAAAAATATATATATAATAATAATTAGTGAAAAACAACGATTCATAGAATCAAATCAATTATACGATTATTTTGTTTGTCGATAATCTTTTTTAAAAAAAAGTATATTATATAACGTGTTATTTATAATTATAATTAGTTATAATATTTATATATATATATATATACAAAGTCTATGAGCTTTTACTACTGGTAGTCGAGTCGTCTGACTGGTCCGAGTCTTCATCGACCAGCGAGTGGTCACTACTACTACTACTGATGACAGAACTGCCACCCGATGAGCACAAACTCAGACCATTAAGACCGCTGTTGTCGTCGTTATAGATCTCTTTGAGTATTGTTTCAAATGTCTGGAGAAACTGTCGGGCATTGTCTTCAGTGAAAACCATCGGCGGTTTAAATTTGAGTACATTATCGTATTTGCCTTCCGTACTCATTAGCATCTTTTCATCCTTGAAACGTGCGACCACATAGCTGGCCACCAGATCGGCCGGTTCTTTAGTTTCGCGACTCATGACCAGTTCGGCACCGAGAAACAGTCCTTCGCCGCGGACGTCACCAATAATCGGATACTGTTGTTGTAGCCGTAGGAGTCCTTGTTTCATGATTTTGCCCACTCGGATGGCGTGCTCTCTGAGCTGATCCCGTTCGATAATGTCCAACACTGCGTTGGCAATGGCCAGCGATACTGGATTTCCGCCGTACTATTATAACGGGTAATAGAGAAAAAATACATTAAGGTTATTATCGGGTATTTCAATATCGGCTAATTCATCATCATTATTATTATTACTGTATTGAAATATTCGGTTCCGATATTTTCAAAACTGCGGGCAATCTCGGCAGTGGTCACCACACAGGCAATGGGATGTCCGTTACCGATAGGCTTGCCAATGGTAACAATATCGGGAACAACGCCCTGCGTTTCGAACGCCCACATATGTCCTGTACGACCGAAACCGACCTGTACTTCGTCGGCAATGCATACGCCACCGGCTTCGCGCACATACCTAGCATTTTTAGGTTTAGGTGTTAACGAAGAGTTAAGGGAGGAATTGGTTGATTGGTTTTACTTGTAGGCGGTCTTCAGGAAGTGTTTGGGCAAAACTACTTGTCCGCCGCAGCTGATCATCGATTCGTGAATAAAGGCACCGATACGGCGGCCCGAGTCGTGGGCATTGTTTATCAATTGTTGTACTTCGCGGGCATACAGTTGACCGATTTCCGTTTCGCTGTGTTTATCGGTTGTATACTTTCCCCGATAGGAACAGGGAAGTGGCACCTGTATGTGTGTGTGTGTGTAATGTCAAAGATTAAGTGGTTGATCAATGATACAGATAACATGTAAGATACTTGAATGAATCACTTACCACATGAACCCACGGTTTCTTTTGGCCGCCATTGATCTTTTTGAACTTATATGGAGATATGTCGATAGTAGTGGTCAGGTGGCCGTGATATGCACTGGTAGATTGATTAGCAAAAAAAATTTGATTGATTGATAAACATTAATAAGTGAGATAATAAGTTATTGCAAAGAAAAAACAAAGTTTAAAGTTTGAAAATTTTTTGAAAGTTTTATCAATTAGTTTTTATCTATATTATCCTATGAGTGATAATAGTGTTAGAGAGGGAGGGTGGGCGTTGGGAGACAACCTACCCGTCCAATGTGATGACATCCTTATTGTTGGTATGAGCTCTCGCCAAACGCATGGCCAAGTCATTAGCCTCTGAACTATATATATATATATAAATAAATATATCATAAATTATAGATAAAAATAGTAGTCATTATTTACAATCMAAAAAAAAATAATGAAAAAGTTTTCCAATCAATCAATCAGTAAAACAAACAAATTATTACAAAAAAAATAATAATAACAATTACCCAGAATTGACAAAATAACAAACTGATAGTTTGTCGGGAAAATAACTGGTCAGCCGTCGGGCATAGATAACCATATTGTCGTGAAGGAAACGGCTATTGGTTGATATCAGTGCCATTTGATCGGCACCCGCTTTGACTACGTGCGGGTGACAGTGGCCAACATGGGCTACATTGTTGATACAGTCGAGATATTCGGTGTCCTCTTCATCGTACATGTACTGACCCGATCCGCGGACAATCTTTAGCGGACTTTGTTTGAAAAACAATGTTACCGAACCACTAGATGATGGACGGGACGGGGATGGGAGGGATAGAAATGCAAAACAAATAAATAAATAAATTAATTAAATGATATTTTTTATTGATAATTAAATTTATTAATATCAATGATCTGATAATTTTATGATTTATATTATTTAATAGTAATATAATTTTTATTTTTGGGTAATAAAAATTTCCTAATATATTGAATGAATTGCAATAATTTTTGGTTATAACGTAATAATAATAATACTAATAATAAATTATTATTATTATAATTAATATCCTAAATGATTCAACATTTTTATATATCATATATGATAATAAAAAAAAATATTATGAAAACTTTGAGATAGTTATTAGATTATTATAAAATATTAAAAGCATTTTAGGATAACTTTAAAAACAATAGGAAAATATCATATAATTTAATAATTATTATTTTTAAAAAAAATATAAGCAAAAGCTTGCATTAAAATGTTAATAATATAATAATAAATAATAATAATATTACTAATAATAATTTCCCAATAAATATCATATGTTATTTAAAACATATCAATTGGCATATATATATATATAATGTATTGTATTTGATATACAAGCATATCATACATATAATTCATATAAATAAAATACATCATATATTTTTGTTAAATAAAAACCAAATAATTTTTTATAATAATGTATTTTATCAACAAATTTACATCAAAAAAATATATGTCATATTAGATATCATACCCGATGTGTTGTTTGCGTAGTTTAAGTGTCACCTCTTTGGGCAACTTTTCCAGCGATGACGACGACGACGACGACTTGCCGGACATTTGTATGGCGTGTGTGTCCATTGAAACTAAAACTTTTTTTTATTATTTAAAAAAATTATTATTATTATTATTGGATATATTGACTGATGAAATAACACTAATAATAATAATAAGTCATGTATTTATTTTGGGAGAATATATATATATATATATATTAAAAAATTTTGGGGACTTTTCAGGACTAATTGAATCGTTTGAAATTAATTTTAATTGACTGATGAGTTGATGTCGAGCCCCCACTTATTTATAGAAGGCATGTATAGCTAACTGAGCCGATGATTGGATCTTATATATATATATATTGATAGCTTGATAAATAGTGAGACACCCGTTTTTTTGTAATACCCACACATACGCACACATACATACATCTATCACTAAATTGTGATCACGTATATTGTAATGAATTAGACGAGAGAGAGAGAGAGAGAGATAAATGGGTCAAAAACAAGTAGTGATAAATCCCGGGAAAGAGAGAGAGAGAGAGAGGCAATTGAGGGGATGACATGTTTAATGTATTAAATACATTGCAAAGGATATCATATGGTGTTGTTGTTGTTGTTGTTGAGTTGTGTCGTTTAGGTATCAATAAAGCACTGGTATATCAATTATTTTTTGAAAGAGAGAGAGAGAGAGAGAGAGATACACGCACTCAGTGTATGACAACACAACTGGTATTTTATTTAGACGACTGACTGATTGAATTAAATTTTTGTTGAGAGAGAGAGAGAGAGAGAGAGAGAGAGAGAGAGAGAGAGAGAGAGAGAGAGAGAAATATAAAAGTGATTTACAATAATAATACTTTATAACACACTAACCATTATTATCCAGTTTAAAGTGGTTTGAAATTGCATCTCATATTTATATATATATATATATATATATATATATATATATATATATGTTTGCCTGAAGTTATATAAAAAACTACATTTTTAAGGGATAAAAATTGTTTGTTGTCTTAAATATGAGTTGTTTTTTAAGTTTTTTTTTAGAAAAAATTGTCTTAAAATGTTTTAAGTGCTATAAAAAAATATATGATATATTTGTATTAAATTAATACATGTCTATTTAAAAAACAAATAATAATATCTAAAAAACAAACCTATATTTACATATTATTATTATTATAGCTATAATTTAGATTAGCATTAATTTTTTTGGAGATATATTTTTATTAAAAAATATATAYAATTTTTTTTAGAAAAAAAATTATAACTGATTAGTAATTTAACAATAAACATATGAACTGATAATTATGTCTTATTTTTTTAATAACACAAAAAAATAAGTTAAGATAAATATTGTATCGCTAGTATATCTAATAAAAATATTATCACAAATCTAATCGTTTACTAATTTATAATAACAATATTTATTATCAATAATATTAATTTATTGCTTATTAATCAATAATTTTATAAACAGTTTCTCGTTAATCGATGAGTTTTTTTAAAATAAAATAAATATCATAAATAGGAAAACATATTTTTTTAATATTAATTAATTTTTAAAATATATTATTATTATTAGCGGAAATAAATAATGAATTCAATTGTATAGTG